TTTGTACTCAGTGTATGCAGCAATTGCAGGAATGGAACCCGCATTCAAAGTGTTATCGTTGTTTCACGTGCGTTCGGGGTTCAGATGTCTGCCCAGAGAATATGTGTAATCGCTGGGGTTCGGAAGCCTGGGAATCGTTCCAGCAGCATGTGAAAATAGCCGAGACTGACCGCGTCACTCGTTCACGAAAAGGTCACGTGGCAAGTGCTACCAGCATGGGTATGAGTGAGTTGTGCGTTGGCATGAATGACAAGTCCTCGCGCTTGGTTACCGGTTCTCATACCGGGATACCAAGCAAAGGGCCCGATAGTGGGGGTGCCGATTTTTTTCGGTCTCCCCCTGCTGATCGGAGGGCATCTACACAGTCTGTTTTTTCAGGCAGTGGGTTTCCCAACTTTACCGGCAACAGCGAGGCTGTGCCCCTGGAGGTCTTTCCTCCTATGGGGCCTGCGCTGAGTCCCGTTGTGGACCCATCCTCGCACGGCACCGGTTTTGTCGCTGAAATGAGGGCATTGGTCGAAGGACTGTCAGGGCAAATTGCGTCCTTGGCAGGCAGAGTAGATCACCTGCAGGCGGAGCAAGCTGTCTCCACTGCGGCCTCTCAGCCGGCAAGTAGGAAGAAACACAGAAAGCACCGTTCGCATTCTAAACACGTCTCTTCCAGGGAACCCCCTGTTCCCAACCATGACCCCCCCACCCCCACACCCCCGCTGTGTTGAGGGGCGGTCGTTGGTCAGCCGCAGAGGCCCCGGACTGGGGTAATCTTTTGCATAACTCCTTTCGCTGGACTAAACGCTACCCCATCGGGGCAATCTCGGATTCGGACCCCAATTCGTGAGACGAAATCCAGAAGTCCCCGACCGGACCCCAAGGCTCCTTCCCCGGACCCCGTACCACAAACTTCTGTTTTGCCAGCTGGGTGAAGGGGGATGCTTGCGTTCGGCAAGAGATCAGGCTACAGCTTAGTAACCCCAGTGATCTACGGGGAGATCCCCCTCCTCTTGCAACTGCCGAACCCAGGGCCACAGATCCCTGTCGCACGCAGATTGCGCCGGTGCATTCCGACTTGGAGGCAGCGGGTAACCGATCCCTGGACGCTCCAGGTGGTCACACGCGGTTACAGAATACCACTCCTCCGCCCCTGTCAGTGTCCCCCCCGTTGGGGGCACTGCCAGGGGACCCCCGCAAGGCGGAAGCAATCAGACAGGAAGTAGACAGTTTGCTAAGAAAGGGCGCCATACACAGAATAGTTCAGCCGGCACTAAGTCCGGGCTTCTACGCAAATGTATTCGTAGTACCAAAATCTACAGGCGGCTGGCGTCCGGTTCTGGACCCAAGCAGACTAAACCAGTATGTGCTTCTCGATCAGTTCCGCATGGAGACACCATCCAGTGTCCTACTCTCCATTCACCGGCTCGACTGGCTAGCCTCTTTGGACTTGTGCGACGCTTACCTGCACATACCAAGGCACCCAGCGAGTTGCCCTCTGATTCGCTCATCTGGGCCAAGTATTCGAATTCGGGTGCTCCCCTTCGGGTTATCCACAGCGCCCTGCGTATTCACCAGAGTGATGAATCAGGTAGTACTGCTGCTCCACCAAATGTCGGTACACATCAATCCGTACCTAGACGACTGGTTGATACACAACCCAGACAAGGGGTTATTAGCCAGACATGTAAGGCTTACACAGGATTTACTTCACCAGTTGGGCTTTTTAGTAAATCACAAAAAGTCCCATCCCGATCCGACTCAACAGTTGGTGTTTCTGGGCATGGAGTTCGACACCGAAGTAGGCCTGGTTCGCCCATCTCAAGCGCGTTGCCTAGCGCTAAGCAACCTAGCAGAACGCCTAGTCAGCGTACCTTCAGTGTCTCTCCGAGAACTAATGCGGCTCATCGGAATGATGACCTCCGTACGAAGGAAGAATAGCTGATTAATGCCTACAGTTCAAAATAGTCATTTTGACTGACCGGAGTCTATGGTGGGGATGAACTATGTGAATAGGCGGGTTCGGAGAACCCTCGCCTAATTTAGTGTTCTTGCTGAGATCAGAATTTATTACAGCATAATGTGAAATAGGTTCATAGTTAATATAATATATTTTTATTTAGGAATGCGCTGGGATTGTGATGTTTTAATTGTTTTAGATTTGGAGAAAGCAATTAAAGGTGAGTCAAGATTGTTTGGTTCATGTTTTTAAGCTCTAAAATTAAGGTGTGTTCACTAAGAAAAACATTTGTGAGTGTTTTTCATGGGTGTTTTCGTAGCATTAGTTAACATAGTATGAGGTGACTCACCATGGTAACAAAAATAACAAATATTTAAAATGATTTTGTGCTAATGAACACTCCTCTGGTGCGTTTACAGTTTACATGTGCAGTCTGTCTGTTTTATTTCGCAGCTTGTGAGTTTTGTATTACTTGGAGGCTGAAATTGGACACTATATAAATTTAGGTTTTTGTTTGTCTATCTGTTTCTTGGACATGAACTGGGCAATTTTATTCAAATTTTGTACCAGGATCATGCATATTTGGTTGAAGGTCATATATTATTTCAAAAATGGTCAACTGGAGGCCCACAGTCAGAAAACGGGGACTTATGGATTGACCTCTATGCGTCTGTGTGTGTGTGTGTGTGTGTGTGTGTGTGTGTGTGTGTGTGTGTGTGTGTGTGTGTGTGCGTGTGCGTGCATGCGCCCGTTCATGTACCCAGACCTGTATCTTAGACATGCATGGACCAATATTATACATAATATTATACATATACACATCAATTTGTGCCACGATCTGATTCAAGATGGCTGAATAGCAGCCATTTTTGTACTGAAACATCATCAAAATCAAGCATTTCTTGGCTGTTTACAGATGGATTTTGTTCAAACTTGGTATATACATTAAAGACATTATGGAATCTTGATGCAAATCATTTTGTTT